TCCAAGAGGAGTAACTCGATGGTGATAGGGGATTAGGAGGTGGAAATGAGGATGATGACGATGATGATGAATTGGCTAGGGAAGTTTCGCTCTTTGTCACCTCGAGAGGTGATACGCTATTTACACAATCAGGGGCACCGATTTCGATTAGGATCAAGTAAGCTTTATGTAGTCGGTTAGATTTCTTTTGGTCTTTGGTTTTGATATATGATTGTAGTTCTAATGAATCCTTGAATGGAGATCGTGGTGATTTCTATAATATTTGTTACTAATGCATTCGTTCCCTCTGTCTCTACTACTATACTTGATTCTCTACTTTGCATTTGTTGATTCTATGGTTTTATTAAGAACAAATAGATTCTCTCATTCTTCTTCTTTGGGTCATCACTTCAAATGAATAAATGAATAATTGATTTATGGGAGATTGAATAAAATATTGCCTTGCACTGAGCACCCCTAATTGATCGGTTGATCGGTTCAGTTAACCTCATTTTCTAATTCTATTTTCTTGTTTTAGTTCGGTTTTTTATGGACACCCCTAATTGACAGTGGAGGAGTACTTGGGGCAAAAAGCGATGAACATGGTGCCGTGTGAGAACGGGTTATATTTTAAAAATTTGAGAAATAATGGAGGGTAAATTTGACTTTTTAATTTTTTTTCATCAATATTTAACGACAATGACAATTGTTAGAAAACTTACTTACAATATGTAAACAGTAAGGATGGAGTTAGTCAACTTCCTAAACCATAGGGGTACTTTAAGAAAATTTCCCCTAAATTTTATTTATGGTAAGACTGTGAACTTGGGTGAAATCATGATTCTATTTTTATTTTTTTGAATTGCATATACCATGCTAAATGATCTTGCGCGAAAAAAATTATGAACATTTAAATGAAATAATAATAATTATTTTTAATTATTATTTATTATCATTATTAGTATTATTTTAATTAATTATTAATATCTTTTGCAATTTACTAATATTTTTTCATTATGTATATTACTAAGAAATAAATAATTGTTTTTAATGATTAACAACATAGATCATCTCAAATGTTATAAGTGAGATGCATGAATAGCATATGTATGCATGACCACCATATTTTAAAAAGGGAATTCATCCTTCCACAATTAAGGGCGATACTATTTTAGGGCGGAAAGCGAGTGGCGCTTAGGCGGAAAGGTTAGGTAGGGTAAGGGTGGGCCCCGTAGGAAGGGTTACTGGCTACGTAACCGGCGGACTCTGGCGCCCTTTTTCACACTTGACAGCGAGATAAAGATTACTGGAAATAGGAACGAAGACAAGTTCTGTTCAACAATGGTAGTAGTAGATAATGAGAAATTGGGTTGGTTGAATGATCTCATCAAAAGTTTTAAAGCAGTTGCTCTGCATTAGACAAGGATCCAGAAAGCCCCAATACACCCATGAGAATGAGAATATGAGAGATAGGCCTTGCCCAAATTCATTTAACATTGATCGATAGCATAGCAGAGATATATGCCTAGCCTAGCTACTAGGCTACTAGCTAGCCTTAGCCTAAATAAGAAAGAAAAAAACATTTTGTGGCCCATAAGCCATACTCTAACCATCCCCCATAATTTTCGGACCAAGCAATGTGTTAGGTCCTGCGCACGTTGAGATTTTGGATACTAGCTAGTGGGTTGTGGCTCCTGTTAATCGATGTTAGGTCGTCCCTTTTTTCTTGGGCCACTAGTTTCATAACTAAGTCCAATCTCAATCTGTGTGATGCATCCAAGTCAATATTTATGCACGGTAGTAGTATTTGGTATTTGGTATTTGGTATTTGATATTTGATATTTGGAGAGTCAATATCTCCATTTCCATCTCCCATCATTTGATGGCTCTACCTCTACTTGTGCATTGTTGGTTAAGTGAATTGGATCCGTATGTTGTGTTGTATATGGTCGTGATTCATTGAGCACATGTCTCTCAATATTGCTTGTGAATTGTGATGTTACATTTGGAATAGACAAAGCAGCTTCTTTCAGACCACTCATATCACAGGATGTGTTGATCATATATATATATATATATATATATATATTACACCCATCCTCATCGGGCTGATCAGGCTGATGGGCTGGAGCTCCTATTATTATTTGTTAGGGCTCCCATGCGTATAAGCCATTTACACAGCATTTGGCATTCCTTATCTCGTTTTCTTAGTTAAAAGTTTAGTGTTGATAGTGTTATTTTTAATTGCAAAAAGGAGTTAAATAAGGAATGTCTAATGCAGCCTTAGAATGCAAATGGACACAACTTCTTCTTTGGCTCGGTAAGGTTTATACTATTTTTTACTTTGCAACATTACCGTTACTTTCCATGATTTCGTTTGCTTTTTCTGTTATATATATATATATATATATTTCAACCAAAATCTCCACCTTACTCTACTACTTTTCCAAGAAACCTGATGTTGCTGTAAACGGAATTTCCAGAAGACGGCCGGCATTTAAAATAATCTCCATGGCTGATTTGTGGATTAATAAAGCACCCACGAAGACGCCATGTGCCACGGTATATAGCAGCCAGGTCAGGTTAAGCCTTAAGCATGTCATATTGTCATGCATGTCCTACAGAGGTTATATGCATGTATCGTCCTGGATATAAAGTGTTAAGGCCACACGTCTGATCACAACACATGCATTATTGCAGCTGGCCACTTTCATCCCATCCCACCACACATCTGGAATATTATTGGTTGTATTTTACATCACCGATATTCTCAAAGTGGGGCTGGATGAATGTGGCCGATAGATCCAGACTCGTCACACAATAATAATATTTCATCATTTTTTCACGTAAACAACTGTTCAACAACTTAAAAGGTTCAAGTTATTAGGTGATAGTGTGATACCGTGATAGGTGAGGTTCCTTAATAGATGTTTACTACTTATCACTCCTTCACACAAATGTCTATTGGACTTGAAACGTTGATAAATACAAGCCCATCCATACCTTACCTACCTTACGCTGAAATTTAATTACTTATCCACTTAGTCAAATAATATAGGATTATTGCTAAGGTACTTGAATAGGTTTTTATTTTCTATACCTCATATACGCAAGTTTCAACCGTACCTATAACAAGGTTGGGAATTCCCTACTAATGAACCACATAGATCATGGTTGACGTATGCTAGATTATGTGTCGAATAGGAAGAAAGAAAGACATAAGTATTATGTATACTTTTACCAAAAAGAAAGTATTATTTATACAAATGCAGCATTAAGAACCCCAGAGCATGATAGAACCCATTCCATATGTCATTGCATGAATGTATGCATCCTAGAGTTGAGGCCACTGATCCAACATAATGAGAACTATATATGTTCCATGGATTTTGAATGCACCAAATTTTTTAAGGGTTTTCATTTTTATCTTCAGATGCTTATAACCTTTCATTCAATTAATTACTTGGGTTATCGATCATCGGTTCATTGTCCTATCTAGGCTTAACATTGTCCTTTATGGTGAAATACAAATTTGTCATGCATTTTGTTTTACTACTTGACAATATCGCACAAGTTTAATTTGGTGAATATTCATAGCTGCTCCAGGAATCATAGTTGCCAGAAGTAACATGTTCTAAAGCATCTTTTACCATTTTATCATTTGATAAGGTTTCTATGTTGCCTCATGCAGTATTCCCTTTTCTGGACACCCCGCCCCCCCAAAAAAAAAAAAATGATGAATCTTCCCTATTTAAAAGCATTCATTCATGCATATTGTAATAAGTTTGTAACATCACTGACATTTATACCTAACTGATCTTGCCCATTCTTGTATACCTCAGTTGGCAAATGATGTACCTTTTGATAACTAAAATGTAGCTTTTCTTTACAACTTTTTAGTTGCTATATATGAACAAAAAACAAGTATGATGAATAACAAGAAAGAATAGGGGGAGAAGCAAATTCCTAGCAGACTTGAGATAGCCAGGGAGACCCGAAAGGCATAAAATCATAAACAAATTCCTGCACCTGATCGAAGAAACGGTACTACTTGAAAAAAGTTTTGTGCTACTATAAACTAGCACACTTGAATCGTGCGTCATAGCTAGGGTATGTAGGAGAAGCAAAGACAAAAGACAAAATAGTATATATAGATGAACCAGGTATAGCATAAGGCTATTGTGGGGGAGAAATAATGTTCTGATTTTTGCCAAGCGCAGCCACTAAATACTTTCTTCACTATCTACAGTTATTATACTATTAGATCTTATACTGATTTCACTTAACATATATCGATATTTTACTGAAATTTTAATATTTCTACCTACATTCTCTCGTCCTCTTGATAATATCGGATCCCAATTAAGAATGCAATCAACCATTTCAATGCCACATATATATTATTATACTACTTGATAATTAGAAGGAGAGAAATTAATTAAGGATTCATGTACACAAAATGGACACTTACTTGTTGAGAAGATGCGAGGGAAGAATATTTTGAGGATATATATATATATATATATATATATATCTGGTCTTCCAAGTATTATGAAAAATATAAGGGAAAAGAAAAAAAAAAAAAAAGGGAATTTCCAGTTATCCATGAAAAGTGCTAATTACTTTAATCCTTATATTTATTCCGTGTAGTCATCATAATTTGCAATGAATTAATATAATCCTTTTAGGTCTCCCCTTCCTATATATAGATCTCTTATTGTTTACAATAATTTGGTCCATATATATATATATATATAAAATGATATTTCCTCACTTTTATTCCTCCCAAAACACATAATCTACTTACTTATACAGTTGATTATCTAGCTAAGATGATGAGATCTTTTCTTCAACCCATACCATATACCTACAGCTGCAGGCATGTTATTTTGTAGGTTACATTAATGGTAAATTACTAGCTAGCTAGTAGATCCACTTGTTAATTTCCAAATAGATATCTCAAGTTCTTAGGAAAGTACGTATAAGAGAAAAAAGGGGGAAAGAAAAAGAAACAAAGGAACTTTCATCAGTTTCTTCTCTTGCAATCTCATTGCAACATTAATCTGATGATACATATATGAGGTAGACAACAAAAACAAGAAATACAGGCAAATTTCATCACTAGATCAGAACTCTTTTTTTTTTTTTTTTTTAATTTCATCGATCACTAGCAGAACAAACTTCAACATGCATGGTTTTCTCTTACTTCAACTTCCATTGGAAAGAGGTGAAGAACACTCACACACTACCTCAGTCTCTACTTCCCTTCTGTGAAAATTTCTGTGGCAGCCGCAGGCAGCACATCTAAGCGCAGCAATGGTTCCTTCCTCTCCACCAGCCATGAACTCTCTGCACCCATCCACTGCATATCCTCCTATATTAGCAGCGTGATTTTTTTGGCACTCCCCGTATCTGACACTCCTCCTCATCATGCAAGATGATGTAGTAGAGCTACTGCAAGTTTGTTCCCCTCTTTTTATACTCATTTTTTGCTTCTTCATCCTATCCTATGAAACCCTAATTCTTCCTAAAGATGGAGGTCACTGAGCCCAACCAGAAGGATGGCATATGGAGAAGAGAAAGATAGCTTTGAGCTTGGCTCATGCCTAGCCATAACCCAAACCTGTATATTTATAGCGTGTAATTATCCATATTTTTTGTCTTTTTTTTTTTCTTTTTTATTTGAAAGCAAAAAGAGATCGTACTAGTACTTTTACTATTAGTTTCATTATGAAACAAAATATACTTAAAGTTGGAGAGGAAAATTGGGATCAATAGTAGTTTTAATAAAATCATAAACCCCTGGAATGGTGGTTGGAAATAATAGATAGTAGTTGGCCAACTTCTCTCTATATATATGGGTTCAACTATGATTATAGAAAAGATATATAAAACTCATCAGCAGGGCCAGAACAAAACGATAACCACAATTAATTAGGGCAGCTGGGTACCCGATGCTCTTGTTTTGTTCTGAGACATTTTGATGGGATTGGTTGGTTATAGTGTTATATAGAAAGACCAGCTAAGCGCGCTTTGAAGCTAAACGTAAGTGGGGCTCAAACTAATGGTGCTAGAAAAGGGCAGGATGGGGCCCTTGAAACGATGCCAAACTGTCCGGTCGGACCAAGCTCCTCCTCTTGATGCTTACGCCACCTAATAAATCCCAATAAAACGTGATAAAAACCAATGGGATGGCCTTGTTTTATGCAAAATAAACAAATTATATAATAAATTAAATCCTCCATCACCAACTTGGAATATTGCATGATACGATATGATATTTTCTTTCTTTTTTTTTTTTTTTAAGTAATGGTCGTGGAAGGTTTATGATGTTAGTGTTATCATGGATGATTAATTTAACTTTAACTTTTGTGGAAGTCTGTGTGTAATATATACATTGGCTGTGTATAACGCAGGAGCAAGAAAATTAATGGTAGCTAACCAAGTACCTGTATAATTACTTCGTCAACTTAGGAGAACAAATACTCAATTTTCACACCTGCTCTTCTTAATTGCTCTCTCGATTAAATTGTACTTTATGTTATATTCTTCTAGTTGTAATGTTTGGTACAAACTTAATAGCATTTATAATTATATACGAATTGATGTAGTACTATATTCTAATAATCTAAAGCTAAAATATATCCCATCACAATTATAACGGCCAGATTTTAATTAATTTTAGATTTCTATATTTATGGGTAAGGATGGATTTCAATCATGTTTTATTCGTTCAAGAGATTGATACAAAGAGATGTCAACAAGGCCAAGAAATATCAGAGATACATTTTCAAGAAGAATAAAACAAAGAAATGGATTTAAGAGAATCAAAAGAATTTTTGCAGCTAAAGTAATGTGACTTAACATCACCAATAGAAGTGGATAAGTACATCTCAGAACCACCATAACTAGTGAGCAAACTGACAAGAGGAGTTACCAACTAAAATGAAAACTGACATAGGATGTTATATAGCTACAAGCCATAAACTATAACTTCCAACCACTCCAAAACAAAACCACAAAAGACAGTATCATCTATAAATTCCATCCAGTACACCGAAGAACTACCAACTGCGAGCTCCCATCCAAAGAACGTTGGAGAATTGTAACATCCATCCACAACGCCGGAGAATTATAATGTCCATTCACAATGCCGGAAAACTGTAACTATCATCCAAAAAGCCGGAGAATTGAAACTTCCATCCAGGATGCCGGAGAATTGAAACTACTTTCCAAAACGCTGGAGATGACAAAATATGGGGAAAATCTACCGGTGTTTTTTGTAGAAAGAAGACTATAGCAAGAACTTCTTATCAAAAAGCCATAGAAAGAAAGCAACCAAAGAAAAACAAAGAAGAGGGGAGTGACTCGAGAGAGATCTTGAGCAGGGGTGGAGACAGGGGGGACCCAGGGGAGTCATGGCCCTCCTATGGTTCAGAGAATCCCCACTAAAAAACAGCTTTTCATGTAAATTTTCTCCTCTCCCCACTCTCAATCTCAATGGTTGCCCCCCCCTATGGGCCCATCCATACTTGATTTATATTTTGCGTCCCCCCCGTTATAACAATTTCTTGGCTCCGCCTTGATCTCGAGGGGAAAGATAGAGAGATCTCGAGAAAAACAGAGATCGAGAGATTGAGAGGGGGGGGGGGGAACACAAAAGATGGGAGAAATAGAGAGAGGGGAAAAACACAGAAAATGAGAAAAACACAGAAGAAGGGAGAAACTGAGAGAGGGAAAAAACACAATAGGGGAGAAAACAAACAAAGAACTGAAAGAAAAAGAAAACCTCGAGAGATCTCAAGAGTAAAACCTCTCTAAAAACAGAGAGAGGTAACCCCCTAGCAAACTTCTCTACGGCAAAAGACGAACAGAAGAGAGACGGGGAAGAAGGACGGTGGTTATCCTGTTTTTCTTTCCTCTTCCGTTGATAATTAGGTAAGGATGGATTAAAAGCTATAGATTGTAACTTGTTTAATAATGCTTATCATGGTTGTAGTAGTCAGTAGTCAGGATTAATTAATGTATAGGTACAGTGAAAATTAATTAAACCTGAAAAATATTACATTAACCCTAAGTATTGTAACAGCATATATATAGTGTTATTTCAACATTTATTCAAATACAAATAAAAATCATTAATAGAATGTTCTACGACCATTTCAATTCAGAACCACTGGTTAATTAAAGTTATGTTTGGGATTCCTGAAACTTAATTTTGATGGGCCAAATCAAATTCCAAGTCTGGCATTGGTCTGATTGTTTAGGAAAGGAGTAGTGGTGGCTCGAGCTATTCTTATTGTGGTCAATTTGGCGTCTACCACTGAAGCCTTAGCGCTCTGTGAAGGCATCAAACTAGCCTTGCAACTGGATCTTCATTCTATTGTTTTGAAGATGATGCAAAAATTCTAATTGCATAATTCTTTGTTGGAGGTCAACCCAAATCCTCCTTGAAGTCTTCTCGTGCTCGTCTCTTCCTGCAAGAATCTACTTAACCACCTTCCTAACCGTTCAGATACATTCACTCCCAGATTAGATAACAAGGCAGCCCACAAACTGGCACAGTTTGCACTGTCTTGCTCCTCACTCAAAACTTGGACTTCTGTTCCAGAATTTTTGAAAGATATTTGCAATTCAGATGTAACTGATAATTTTCATTGAATGAATTGGCCCTCGGGTTTTATAAAAAAAACGTGCAGCTGCGTCAACAGTAGGTCTCTAATTTAACTTGCTTGGTCGTAACAATTTACGTCCCTATAGCAATAACGAGCATTGCAATAAGTTGCATGCAGGTGTTACTACTATGCCAATCTCATGCAGCACAGAATTAATTGAATATAAATGCTATGCGAATCTTTTAAGATGATATAATTCATGACGGAATAAAGTGTATTGTGCTCGTGTGTTTTTGTTTGTTTACGTTCCAAAAGTGATTTTCCTCATTTTTTTTTACAGCATAAAATAATCAAAGCAGTTCATCCTAAATTTTCCACCAAGGTTCTCTTGTTTTGGTAAAAAATCTGAATTGGACACAAATTTGCACCTGTTTCAGTTCTTGATCCATTAGTTTCTTATCATGATTTGTTCACTTACTTGATGCAAAATTTGTACTTTTTGTTTTATTTATGCTAATTGGCAGTGCAAATTTGGCATCTTGAAAGACAATGTGAAGCTCTCCCCACCACCTTCTTACTAGTTACTACATGAATTCTCTCTCATATAAAAGCATGCAATACATCATTTTGCTTCGTATTTTACTTCTCAAAGCAAACAATACAAAATCAAATCTGAAACAAAAAGTATATCAAAATTTGCACTGACATGCATTTACAGCAGTACAAATGAAATGCAAACTTCAAATAAGTAGAGCTGAAGTGAAATTTCAATTTATCCGTCCCTTATTAATTGGCATTTGCATCTTTTATTCAAATAGGGGAAAAAGGCATTCATGCATTCATGCATTTGCATCTTCATATATGAAGTGTAAAAGATCAAAATAAGAGCATCATTATTGGGAGAGAAGAGAAAGAGAGGTGACAAAATTTTATCGGTATACTCAACACAGTAAGGTTCAAAATTAATTTAATCTGATGACTACAGTTGATAAACCTGTATTTGGTTACGTTGCACATAAAAACAAAAGGATCATCAGGTTCCGTAGAAAATCATTCTACCAAAAAATTCCATAGAAAATTTAAAAGATGTTCAATAGGAAAAGGAATAATTTTTTTAATTGTTCTTAGTATTTGGCCTAACTTGGAAAACAGATTAGAAATATGTGGATGTCATGAGATTCGAATTGAAAGGATCAAGTACCCTTTGATTGGAAAATTATATAGAATGTCTTCCCACAATTACTATAAGAATGGCAGGTCATTTTATTTACAACCAAATTTTTAGAATTATTTTTCTTCATTTTACATGCAGACAAGTTGGAGATTCATAATCGTTTTGGAATTGCAGAGTAGTAATATCCATGGTTTTGAAAATTGGATCGGACCAGGTGGTCAGACCATTTGACCCAGGTACCAGTCAGGCTTCAGGTCTGGTTTTGGATCCAAAAACCATTTCACCAACGTTTAGGTTGGATGGTTGGACTGTTTGACCCAAGAACACCGGTGGTTATAAGTGGTTTCATTGCCGGGTCGGTTTATAAAATACATGTTTATATCTTTTAGCTCGATTCACATAGTTGAGTTGAATCGAGTATTTGGTTTGGATAGTGGAAAAATAAAGGGAAATTGTCTAAAAGTCAATATAACTTTTTAGCAATTTTCTTAAATTCACCATAATTTTTCAAAATGTTAGTCTACTTAACTTGGCATTAAGTAGACTAACAGGTGTTAGTAGGTTACTATTTTTCCCTTTGTTATATTTAATCCATTTTTCAATATTTCAGAAATACTCTTGTTATTATTCAACCCCATACCCATTTTTCAGCTTCCTTGGAATACTTTCAAACAGCATAATAAGAGCAAAACATCTCTCAACAAGTAGAAATCTTATATATAAAGCAGTTGGGCACTTAAGGGCATTTTAGTCATAAAAGTATGTTAAATAAGGCTGACTCGACATTTTGGAGAAGTTT